CTTTGGAGGGTCGGCGATCGACGATTCCAAGCGCCGCCAGAAGCTTGGGCGCCGCAAGGTCTACACGGTCGAGCCAGCCGTTCCTACCTTCCTCCGATGGTCGGAGTCCGCCATATCCTTTGATCAGACCGACTACCCGGAAAGCGTCCCATAGCCGGGAAGATATCCGCACGTGGTCAACCCGATCATCGGTATGAAGTGGCTCACCAAGGTGCTGATGGATGGAGGCAGCGGCCTCAACATCATGTATGCTAAAACGCTCGATGCCATGGGCATCGATCGAGCGCGCATCCGGCCGACCGGGGCACCTTGGGTGGATCGATCTGCCCATCACCTTCAGGGATCCGACCAATTATAGGACGGAGACCCTTACCTTCGAGGTGGTCGGGTTCCATGGAACCTACCACGCCATCCTGGGATGTCCATGCTACGTGAAGTTCATGGTCGTCCCCAACTACACCTATCTAAAGTTGAAGATGCCGAGGTCCATGCGGGGTCATCACCATTGGCATCTCCTTCCAATGCGCCTAGAAGTGCGAGGTCGAGTGCTGCGAACACACTGCGGCAATCATCGCCTCCAAAGAGCTTGCGGCCATCAGGAAGGAGGTCATCGAAGAAGCACCCAACGCCAAGCGGTCGCCCCAGTCTTTCGAGCCTGTGGAGGGCACCAAGGAGGTCCTCATAGACCCCAACGGCTCCAAGGGCAAAGTGGTGCGCATTGGCACCACGCTTTCCTCCGAATAGGAAAACATGCTCGTCGACTTCCTCCACGCCAATAGAGACATCTTTGCGTGGAGACCCTCGGACATGTCAGACATTCCAAGAGAAGTCGTCGAGCATGCCTTGAAGATCAGGCCAGGCTCCAAGCCATGAAGCAGTGCCTGCGTCGCTTCGACGAGGAGAAGTGCAGGGCCATCGGCGAGGAGATTGTGAAGCTTTTAGTGGCTGGGTTCATCAAGGAAGTATACCATCCCGAGTACTTCATTAGCGAGGGCATTTCTGGTGGTAGAGTGAGAAGAAGAGGAACACGCCCTCAAAGTACAGCGTCCCGTGTACTTCATTAGCGAGGTCTTGTCCGATTCCAAGACTCGCTACCCCAAATTGAGAAACTCAGTTGCGTCACTACTTCGAGTCGCATCCGGTGACGGTTGTGACGTCCTTCCCTCTCGATGAGGTCGTCCAAAACCAGGATGCCACAGGAAGAATCGTGAAGTAGGCACTCGAGCTGATGGGTCAAGGCATTTTATATGCCCCTCGGACGGCCATCAAGTCCCAAGTGCTGGCTGATTTCGTTGCAGAGTGGACTGAGATCCAAATACCACCATGAAAGGTCCTTGTTGGTTTTGGTAATTGAGTGACAACCTAGGTGGACTAATTGTGTTTATGTGAGATACACAGGTGATTAGTCCACAGGTACATGTGTATGAGCAACATATGCCATGGAGGTGAAAATGGCTTGGAGATGTTGCAAAGCTCACACATGTGATGATGAAGGAGCTTATTGCACATGAGACATGACATTGAGTCATGTGATCAAGGTGGAGAAGATCAAGACAAGACTTGGCTTGATGGACCGGTTGCAAGCGTGAAGGGCAAGTCGAAGGCTTTGGAGTGATGGACCGCGTGGCGGTGAAGCTTGAGCAAGACTTGGCGCCGAAGTACGATGGCAACGGTGAAGAGCAAGTAGAGTCAAGATCGATGAACCAATATGATCATGTGATGATATGAAGTGGATCATATCATTGTTGATCGTGTTGGTGCATGTGTTGCATCGACATTGAAGGAGATGGAATGGAATGCGCAAGGCAAAGGTATAACCTAGGGCATTTCATTTCACGGTCATAGGTGTGTAGAGAAGTTTATGACCGGGTTTAGGATAGATGGCCGTACTATCAAGAGGGGCAAACTTGTTTGCATATCAGTCATCTAGTGCCACTCGAGTGATCTAACTTTGCAATGTCGCTAGGATCGAGTGGCGTGGCAAGTTGAGTGGCTAACATCATTTGGGAAATGATTGTGAAAATGCTAACACACATACACATGGTGGTGTACACTTGGTGGTGTTGGCACATTTATAAAAGAGGTGGTGTTTGCGGGGGTGAGATGGGTTTGGGTCCTCTCTCCTCCCGCCGAGCTTTATGAGAAGGGATTCGGCGCTTTCGGGAAAATAGAATGCCTATTTTCTATTGCGCGGATGCAAGTTCTTGTGGTTAGCACATTGGAGCAAGGGTGATGAAGTTAGAAGTGAAAACGAGTTAGTCGCGAAGATCTTTGGCGTCGGTCAACCGACCGGACGCTGGATCTGAATGCACCAGACATTGACGTGGCCGTGGTCGGTCAGCCGACGTCGATGACGCAGATTTGGAGTGTGACCGGACGCCTTTGCGTGCTGCGTCCGATCAATGTGACGGACGCGTCCCGGTCGAGGTCGGTACTTATTAATGAAAAATGACCGGACCGGGGGTTCAGTCCGTCGATCGGCCGCTTGAAAGCTATGCGTCCGGTCAAGTCAAGTGACCCGTTGGAACCGGGACACATGGCCGTCTCAGGGCGACCGGACGCCGAGGTCCAGTCGTCCGGTCAACACGACCGAGCGAAGGCGTCCGGTCGGCCCGACCGTTGCTCGATGAAGGGGTAACGGCTAGTTTAGCCCTTGGTGCTATAAATAGAAGTGGCCCTCGGCCATGGTAGTCTTGAGCACCTCAAGGGACTTAGTGTCCATGCTTGTGAGTGCTTGGGAGCCCTCGATCACATATATACTTGATAGTGATCATTCGATTGTGTGAGTGAGCGATTCTAGTGCAATTGCATCGTGAGGTTGCATCGAGTGGCACTAGGTGGTCGTGTTGCAAGCCGGTGGTGCTTGTTACTCTTGGAGGTTGCCACCTCCTAGACGGCTTGGTGGTGGTCTCCGTCGAAGCCCGCAAGAAGCTTGTGCGGCGCTCCGGAGAAGTGCTTGTGAGGGGTACTTGTGCTCGCCCCACGGGAGTCGCGAAGAGCAACTTTAGTAAAGCGTGTCATTGAGCTACCCTCACTCAAGGGGTAGGTTCTTGCGGTGCCCGACGTGCGGGCTTAGCGGGTGATGCTAATTAGCCGTCGAACCACCAAGTGAGCGGTCGACACAACGGGGACTAGCGTGTTGGCAAACACGTGAACCTCGAGAGAAAAATCATCGTGTCAACCTTGTTCTTCCTGTTAGTTTGCATCCCCATTACACAAGCTTGCAATTACTTATATATATATCTTAAGCTTGTGTAGTTGCTCTTGTAATTAGATAGCTTGTGTAGCTAGCTAATTACCTTCTTGCTTGTGTAGCATAGAAGTAGCTCCCTTGCGTGGCTAATTTGGTTTTAGTAACCTTGTTAGTCACATTGCTTAGTTTGTGTAGCTAAGTATTTGCGCTCTCTAATTAGGCATTGGTTGCCTTGTTATTGAGCATTGCTAGTGAGCTTAGTTAGCTTTGTGCTTTTGCTTACTAGCATGTGTAGGAGCTCTCTTGTTACTTAAAGTACTAGTGGCATAGGTTTGTGTGAACTTGCTCCTAGAATTGTTTAGGAGAGCTCTATCTAGCCCGGCACCTTAGTTGCTTTATTAGTATCTTTGCAAGGTGCTAGTGAACATATATAGAGGGGTGTAGTCTTGGCTAGACCGATTGTTTTAATTCCGCATTTATATCGGTTAGCCGACGCAATTAATTTTAGAAAAGACTATTCACCCCCCCTCTAGTCCGCCATCTCGACCCTTCACACCAGCGGTCGTCGACCAAGAGTACGAGACGATGTACTTCGATGGATCACTGATGAAGAAAGGCGTCGGTGTGGGGCTGGTCTTCGTTTCGCCCCTCGGGGTACGCATAGGGTACATGGTTCGCCTCCATTTCTCCTCCTCCAACAATGTGGCCGAGTATGAGGCACTAATCAACGGCCTACGCATCGCCAACGAGGCAGCCGACGCGCTGGCCAAAACAGCGTCAATAAATGCAAGTTGGTTGTGGGTTTGACCGTATTTTTTATGGGCATACTGTATACTGTATGTATGTCCGTTTATAAAATTTCGGACACATTACTAGACATCAGAACTGATCATGTTGCTCCTAATTACTAATGCGGTGGAACTAGAAAAGTAGCATCGGTTAAGGGTCTGTTTGGTTTCCATAAGTCAGGTGACTGAAAATCAGTGACTTATAAGTCATGTCTGTTTGGTTGTAGATGACTTATAAACTCATTAAAGATGTGGGCCCCACACGAAAATGGGTGACTTATAAGTTGGTGGTGTTTGACAAAATAAGTCACTTTTTTCACTTTTTAACTTATAAATAGGTGACTTATTTGGAACCAAACAGGCCCTAAGCATCTCATTGCCTCCATGCGTTTTTATATGCAATTTTTCCTTGGTATTGGTGTTGTTTTAATTAGATGACTAAACAAACACTTATTTTGGAACAAATTTTAAATACTAGAATCGATATTTATTTTAGGATGGAGGAAGCGTTAGTACATCATGCATCTACCAGTATCTGGTTAATTATTTGCAGCTAGCCAAATTAAAATTGATTCTAAAAACAAGGTACTACTGTTTCCCTCGTCCCAAAAAAAAATATAATCCTGCTTTTTAAATCTTATTTAAAAAAAGAATGTAATTGTAGACAAGAGGCAAAATTTTCTAACCGGACCACCTATTAAAATACCACTACTTTATCAAGGTATGGAAAGAATATTCTAGAATGCAATGATTATTTTTTAGGCTTTACTTGTGGGGGAGAACGATGAAGGAGAGGTAAATACGTAATTTCACACATACACTAATTTTATCTTAAAAAGCGATATTTACATCTTTTCTGGGACAGAAGTAGTAACTAGCAACAATTCGACTGCTCGGCTGGTATTAAAGTCGGCTGAATTTGTTTTGTTGTGAGAGAAAAATATTATAGATTATCTTTCATAGCACTGCTTGTTAATAAGAAGAGCACCGCCGGTGCTGTGTTGCTAGCGGCGGCTGTCATGGCCATCCTCCTCTCTGCTGCCTACATGGTGAGCCCGCCCCCACGTGCAGCAAGCCGACGGCAATACTACGGTCATGTTAGATACCGAACCTACCTCGTCATCCACCGGAAGCCACCAAACGCCGACGCCATGGACGAAGATGCGCACCGCCGTTGGCACGAGTCTTTCCTGCCGAGCACCGTGATTGGCTACTCCGGCGAGCCACGCCTCCTGGACTGATAGGCCTCGTTTAGATCGTAAATTTCTGTAATCTGGATATTGTAGTACGTTTCATTTGTATTTGACAAACTTTATTCGATCATAGACTAACTAGGCTCAAAAGATCCGTCTCGTGATTTACAACCAAACTATGTAATTAATTATTTTTTTATCTATATTTAATGCTTCATGCATGCGTCCAAAAATTAATGTGATAGAGAGAGTGAAAAAATTTAGAATTTAGACGCAATCTAAACGAGGCCCTGCTACAGGTACGTCAGGTACGGGATCTACGCCTTCTCCGCGAGGCTGACCTTCGCCGAGGTCGAGGATGTGGCCAAGAAGCCAGGCGTCCTGGGCTCGCGGCATTGCCCTGCAATAGGGATTACTACGCAGGCCTTGTTTACATTGAAAAAAAATTCAAACCGATGAATAGTAGCATTTTCGTCTTATTTGATAAATATTGTCTAATCGTGGACCAACTAAGCTTAAAAGATTTATCTCGTGATTTCCAACTAAACTATATAATTAATTATTTTTTTTACCTATATTTAATGCTCTATACAAACAGCTAAAAATTAATGTGATAAAAAGAGAGTGAAAAAATTTAGAATTTTGAGGGTATCTAAACAAGGCCGCAGTGCACAACGTGCCAGGCTGCCGCCTGGGATTGTGGTTCCCTTGTCGTTTCCAAGCCAGCTAGTACTGCTAGTCAGAAATAGAAATAGCTAGCTAGGATTGATTTGATTGCGCAACGATTTCTTAATTTTCTCATGTAAAGTTGATCTGGTTCGGATCCTAACAAAAACAAATCAAAGCGCAGTGATTTCCCTTGCTTCTCTTCAATCTGAGTTCTCGATCAATTCCCATGCAATATTTCTTGTTCTCGATCTGGTGGTGCTTACTCTGAGCTCCGGTTCACTTGCCTGCTTTCTCAACTTATAATCAATTGGCCCTTGTTTAGTTCGCGAAATTTGGATTTTGGGGCTACTGTAGCACCTTCGTTTTTATTTGGCAAATAGTGTTCAAATATGGACTAATTAGGCTCAAAACGTTCGTCTCGCAATTTCCCACCAAACTGTGCAATTAGTTTTTCTTTTCGTCTACATTTAATTTACATTCGATGTGGGAGCTATGTACATAACTTTTTGAAAGTTGAGGTGGAACTAAACAAGGGGTGGGGAGCTATGTACATAACAGGAGGGCAGGGGTAGGAGCAACTCCAGCAGTGCACTCTAAACAAGCACTCTATTTTCTAGGGGCTTAATTTTTTTTCCCTCTCAACTCCAGCAATGCTCTCTAAACAACCCTCTATTTATTGTAGAGGGGCCTAGGGGTGTGGCCATGTGGGAGAGGATTTGAAGGGCTCTCCATTTTGGACCTGTTTGGCAGGGTTCTAGCTTCTTTGAAAGAGCAGCTTCTCTGGAGAAGCTGAAACCGTTCTGGAAAATATTTGGCAAAACGGCTCCTTCGCACTAGACGACGTGAACCCACAGCAAGAAGCCGCGCGAAGCTCGTTTTTTAGGCTTCTCCTGTGCAGGAAAAAAATAGCTCTGGCTCTTGACCGGCTCATCATGCGGAGCCATTTCCAAAACAGGCGTTTGGCACAGCTCCTGCAGGAGCCGGAGCTGAAGCCCCTGCAGGAGCCCTGCCAAAAAAGCTCTTTAAGCGGCGGAAGTAGAGAGCCAGCTGGGCCAGAGCTTGTTTTTTAACCCCCAACCTCTAAATTTGAAGTATGGGTTTATTTAGAGGGTTTAGGGTTTAATTGTTCTAAGCTAGCTAGCTCCTAGTGAATGTTTAAGAAAAATTAGAGATTTATTTTACAGTGTAAAGAAGCAGAAACATAAAAAAAAAAAAAAAATACATGAACGATTCTAGTCACTCCTGAATACAAGGGAGATAACTCTTGTTTGCAAGATGGATAACCGGAACAAATTCGTCTTTAATTGAATGTCTCGGTGGATAGCGAGATTCTTCTTATTAAAGATATTGCTATTCCTCACCGTCCAAATGCTTGAATATATACATGAAAATGATAATCTCGATGGATGGAAAAGGGCTTTCAGAGTTGCCTTCTAGCTAAAACAGTATTCAAGAATTTCAGATGGCCTCACAAGAACAGTCGTTAATGAAAAAATGCATCAAATATTTTTGTTCTTGGCAAATTAAAGGAGAATAATAGTTCTAGCTAGGAAAATCCAGGTCTAGAGCGAGCAGGGGCGTGTTGCACGGCGAGCTCGCCCAGGCCGCCATGCATGGCTCGTGCGAACACGCACGCAGGAGCCCCTCATTTCCATTCCGGAGCATTTTAATATTAAGTTGCTTATTTTTCCAAGAAAAATTCCACAAACTTAGTCCTAGAACATACAACTAGCAGTTAGGAAATTGGCTAATTATTTCTGATATACAATTTGTTCCCACGAGATAAAACCCATAATCAGTCCGAAAACACAGAGACAGGTAGAGAGAATGATTTTTTTTCACATGAGAGATACTTATAATAGCTAATTAGCAAAGCACACTTAGGTTCATAGCAACAAAATTATGGTATCTTGCTAGGATGGTCCAGCTAGTCAGCTACGGCTGTGTTAGGTTGATCTCTTTCGGCGCTTGATACAAGCGCGTTGTTTGTTTTTGTTTGTCTAAACTTCTACTTAATACAATGATATGCAAAGCTTTTGTGTATTCGAGAAAAAAATAGCAACAAAATTATGGAAAGGTATTCATCAACTAACATCTATAACTGATCTTGAGAAGCACTCACATCTAGTATAGTTCGCAAATGTACACCATCCATGGCCTCAAGATATAACAAGAAGAGAACGTCGCAACCTTCGCTGGAGCACCGCCCCTGCTGTTGATGGAGGATGGTCTATGTACCTTTGTGTGGCCGAGGTTTGGACTTGCCAAGTGGGATGGAGGCTGGAGCACCACCCTTGCTATTGAGCCGTGCCATCCGAGTTCACCTACACCATCGCTGCGGAGCCACGTCGCCGGAGACGAGCATGACCTCGTCGGTGAGACGCCCTATTTTAGCACCTTAATCTGTTGCTCTCGAAGCAGCACCGCCACGACAAATCCACCATGGTGTGCCTATAATATTGTAAGAATAGTTCACTCTGTGTGCACAGCGCAGCTGTCGAAGGGAACTACGAGGCAAGCCGAAGGGAACAGCCCAGGCCCCCGCGTCGTCTCCCAGGCGGCTCGGGGGCGACACACCGCGCCGCTACCGGAGACCCCAACATAGGTCAGCCTCCCGGCCGCCGCCGCTGCTCATGGACGAGTGGTGGCGGCGGCCCGCGGTCGCGCCCAAAAAAGGCTGCCTCCGCATCGTCTTCCTCCCTCCCCCCATCTTCCTCGACTTTTTCTTTGCTCCCGTGGTGACCGGAATGGTTGGGGACGAGCTGAATTCGCGACCTTCGAGGCTTGATCCGGTGTCTAGACGCCTGGATCTGTTGGTTCCCGTCCTCGACAGCCATGGCAGTGTGGTGGCCCGCCGTCTTCCCATGGCGGTTGGGATGGCCGGCGGTTGATGTCTGCGTCACTGCCGCCAACTCCCCGGCGGCCGGTGGCGCCTCTCTGCGGCCGGATGCAGGGGGTGGTCTGCTGCCTGGCGGGTGCCGGCCAGCTCCACGGCCGGCGCCGGCGCTGGACGTGGTGCTGTGCCTGGTGTACGTGGGGTGCCCCTGCAGCGACGCGGGGCACATGGTTTGGCCGCGGGCATGCCGGCGGTGGGGCAGCGTGCCCATGTCCTTCGCATTCATGTGCAGGGGCCCAGCAGCTGCGCGGTTTGGCCGCAGGCTTGCGGGCGACGGGGCTGCGTGACCGTGGGCGGCCTTCCCTCAGTGCTGCTCTCTGGCCAACTTCCAGCCATTGAGGGCCTTCTCTGTCAATTATCGGGAGGGCAGAACACTGTTTGGGCAGAGCGACGACGTCGACCATGACGGTGTCCGCATGGCAGCATGTTGGCGTTGTCGGTGCGCGCCTCCCACCATCGCGTGCGAGTCCGAGAATGGCTCCAGCGGTGTGGCGACGGTCGGCAACCCTCCGTCCAGGCGCTGACGATTGCCGGTGCGCGCCTCCCACCATAGTGGGCGAGTCCAGGAACGGGTCTGCGTGGTGTGGCGGCGACCGTCACTCCCCGACGCTTGCCGATGCGTGCCTCCCACCATTGTAGGGGAGTTCGGGAATGGCTCCGCGTGATGTGGTGGCGGTCGACACCTCCCGACGCTTGCTGGTGTGCGCCTCCCACCATCGCGGGCGAGTCCGAGAATAGCTCCGCATGGTGTGGCAGCGACCGGCACCACCCTCCTCCATCTAGGTGTGGACGCTTGCCGGTGCGCGCCTCCCATCGTTGCGGACCAGTCCGAAATGGCTCCGAGCAGTGTGGCGGCGACCGGCACTCCCCCTACGTCCAGGTGTGGGCGCTTGTTGGTGCACGCCTCCCACCATCGCGGGCGAGTCTGCAAACGGCTCCGTGCGGTGTGGTGGTGGCTAGCACCCCCCCTCTTGGTGCAGACGCATGCCGGTGCGCGCCTCCCACCGTCGCGGGCGAGTCCTGCAACGGCTCCACATGGTGTGGCGGCGGCCGCACCCCTCCCATTCGTCCAGGCGTGGAAACTTGCTGGTGCGCGCCCTCACTTTCAGGGTGAGTCCGAGAATGGCTTCGCGTAGTGTGGCGGCGCCCGGCACCCCCTCCATTCAGGCATAGACGCTTGCCGGTGCGCGCCTCCCACTATCATGGGCGAGTCTAGGAATGTCTCCGTGTGGTGTGGCGGTGGCCGACACTCTCCTCCATCCAAGCATGGACGCTCTATCCCTCTAGCGGGGGCAAGTCAATGGGTGCACCGTCAAAGGTTCTGGGCGAAAGCTCCACTCAGATCAGTCTGGGCCAGCGGCGAGGATTTCCTTCTTGAAGGCATCACTAAAGAACATATTGTTGCTGCTTCTCCTAGATCGACCTTATCAATGTAGTTACCCCTGGCACAAGGCTCGAGCGAAAGCCTTGACAAGCTTCTGCT